TTTGGTTTCTGTAAAGTGAAATCACTTCCTTCCTATCTCAAACTCGACTGCTTTATTGCACACCTAAGTATCAAGGTCACAGGTGTATGAACCCAGGATGCTTTATCACTTTTATTCCTTTTTTTTTACATTACCATCAAAAAAATATTAACTCTTAAAGGACTTGTTCTTCATACTATCAGCACTGTATCTCCTAATGTGTGTCTTTTCTTTAGTTTACATCTTTGAAGTTGAGCTGCAACTCGAGTCTCATGATAACTAATTAATTGAATTTAGGTCAATTAAGTGATGGGCAACTTAAAACTTTAACTTTGACAGCAAAAAGTTGTTTAGCTTTCAGGTTCAACTAAGAGGCTTTTCTGATTTCCTCTGTTTGATTTCATTGTAAATTAAATATATTTAGTTTTTTTTTGAGAGATTGGTTGGACAAACAAGATATTTTAAAAGAGTGAACTTGTTTTTATTCAATTATTTTCTGACCAAGTAGACACCTCACTGCGGGAGACTGTACCTTTCGGGTGGGATGGGGCGGGGGGCTCCTGAGGTAATACTTGACGTTAAAAAAAGCGATGCGGAAGTACTGTAGCGGTCGAAGTAACAGAGTCTGCTATATGATGCTATTTGTGTGACAGCTACCCTGCGATACGTGGTTGTAGGCATTAAAAATAACGATACAGAAATCTCAAATCTTTCTGATGACGGTCTTGTTTGCTTCTTTCGCTCAGAAGGAGGCATCATGAATATTTTCAGCCTGTTTTATAACGAGCAAAACATTTCTCACAGGAGCTTTAAACGAGAGAAATATCCAGAAAATAAATCGTTCAGGTCCATGAAATGAACAAAAAATGTTTTGTTGTGTTTTGTTTTTGAGACGGGAATTTTCAATCAATCAATCTTTATTTGTGAAGAGCCAAACTTTACAAAAAGAGCAGGTCTACTCGTCTTAGTTATTTTATTTACTTTGAAACAAAAGTAAGAAAGCAACTTTTATTTATTTAAGTGGCTCTGTGACATACTTTCATCCGTGCTACTTTCCTACTTTCACTGCCAAGTGGATGTCTTTCTCCCCCACCTGTTATCGAGTTGTTATCAGTTTTCCCTCTGCTTTGCGTCATGCACTTTCCTCAGATCTACGAGATACTATTGATCAGAGTCTGACACGGGAAGATAAATCACCAGCCGGGGTTTTTCTGTTGAAACTCAGCATGAATGATGATCCAGCCCGGTGTGTGTGCATGTGTTCTGATGTGCTGCAACAATCATGACTGCTGAAGATCTTTCCCGGCTGCCTCGTCTGTGATCCTCTGGTCTTTGAAGTGAAGGCCTGCGCTGTGTCCGAGCTCCTGAAGCTGCCAAGAGACATCTCAAGGGGGCCTCTTCGTGCAGCACGGACGGCTTTCCGTAAGTCTGTGATATGACCTGTGGTCAGTCTCTGTCTGATCTGAATCTATATCTCTAAATCAGAAACGTGATCCGGTAGAAGGAGTTCCTCTTAAAGTCGGGTTAGCTTCCAACAGGGCTGAAAATACAAAGTGCATCTTAGCGGCTCCTCCTCCAATGATGATGATGTCGGCCGATCACGTCTTATTAATTTTAATAGATTTGTTTTGTCAAAATTCCCTCACAGATCTTAACAATGACATCATCAAAAGTTGAACTCAAACCATGCAGCCCTGTATGAGGGCACCTCAGTGAAGCCCAGCTTTGTAATCATTTTAGTTTCTACCTTTCCCAAACCAAAACAGCAAAAGTGTAGGCTAAGTAGCAGTATTAGCATGCCATGCTAACTAGCTTCATATTTCCGGTATACCTGAGCATTATCTCAAAACAGAAGCTCATCATTACCTTATTATGTTAAATTAGTTTGGTGGGGGGGGGGGGGGTGTAGATTATGTCAGTTGAGGTTGTTGGTGGTTCTTGATGTTACAATCATAGTTTAAGCTAACATTAGCATCTCCGATCAGCTCGTTTGGTTAACTGGAAGTTAAAGCTCAAGGAGCCACAGCAAACAATACCATAAGGCATTACTCTGTTGTTTTGTTTTAATCAACATATACATTGAAAAACTGTCTAAAATTGCGGTAGCTGTATTTCCCATAAAGCAAAGAAAAACAAAATAACCGATGCCTAATTAGCCAGCTAGCTTCAACTGATAAAAAGTGAGTGTGACGGTTCCTTAGACCATTTTCAAATAGACTTTCTACTTCTTTGTTTTAACTAAAGATGAAGTAGGTGTGATTTATGCCTCTTTTTTTTATCACATTTCCAAAAGCAAACAAACAAAAGCAGCTAACTGAGTAAAACATGAAAGTACGCTGATAAAGAGCAATCTGCATACGATGAACTCTGTCAGTGATAATGTTTAACTCTCTTTAAATTGAAACATACTGAAAACTGTATAGTAGTGTAGTTTACCCTCGACCCCAAGGAAAAAGAGCAGCTCTTGGCGCTATTAGCCTGATTAGCTAGAGAGCTATGCAACTGACAGATGTTGTAATTTTAACCATCAAAAACACTGGTAACCAGCTAGCATTGGGAAATTGTGTCTGAAAACAAATAGCCAATGAAAAAGATGGGCCCTATTTAGAAACTCAAAAGTGTTTGTGAGTTTACAATTAACTCAAAAGTTGTAAACTTCAGTTGCTGTGTAAGAAAAGAAAGCTAACAGGGGCAATTACAGCAGCCTGAGACTCAGCTGATGGTCAACCGTTGTTTTGCTGAGAAAGTGCCTTCCTCAAAACTTCTAGAAATTTGAGGAGACTTTTTGTGGCTTTAAAATGGACCATTAACCCTTTTCCCATCCAATTGAAAAACCCCAGTGTGGGGATGAGTCACCAGGATTTATTGGAAAAGGGTCAAAGGAGAGGTTTTATTAGCTTCAGGATATGTGCATCTGGGCTGAAAGGATCTATTTTTGAAACGGCCCAACGTCTATTCAAACTGATAAGAAAGGCCTCTTCCTCTGGCCTTCCACGCTAAAATGTAAGTGCCTTGCTGGCCTATCAGCATCTCTTCCTGTTTGACTCGGCCCCCCCTTTTTTTCTGTTCTCATATGGTTCTAATTTGTCTCTCCTCTGTGAACACAAAGTCAAAAACTGTAGCTGACTAAGATCTTTGCTGAATGTACCCTGGCGGAAATACTCGGGACAGTTTGCTCCCATCGGCCACAGAGGTAATCCATTAGTCAGTCACTGAACCATCTGCTCCGTCAGGCAGTTAAATATGCAGCCAGCAGCTATCTAATCTGGCAGTCAAAAACCCAAATGGTATTTAAGAAAAACTCAGTCACTTCTAGTTTACTTTTAAGCTCTCTTTCTGTTTACTCTGAGTTCAGACACAAACAAAATGCATGAGATGTGATTGATATAAACTACTTCATCCTATCCCACTTGCTTGCGGTGAATTTTCCTGTAAATTTCCTGCTGTGTTCTCTCATCGGCTCGCCCCAACATCACACTGAAAATGTCCTATGGGGGCTTGCAGGAAGAATTCATGTTGGAATGATAAATTTGGTTGACTGGTTCATGCATGCAGCTCACACTTAAAAAAAATACTTTTTTTGACAAACATCCCAACCGAATCAACTTTGAGATTCATATCATTACTTGAAATTGATCACAGAAACTTGTTTTCTGATGTTTATTGGCACTCGTCTGCTGCTGACTCTGCCTTACAGAGCCTTGATTAGAGGTCTGGAATCTCGTCCCATGACTTGATCCTTCCATTAACCCCGTGACACATAATTCAGAAAAATTTAAATGTGAAAACTAAATTTGGAAATAATAAAACATAGTCAGGTACACTGGTCTTGTTTTTTTTTTTAAGAAGTAGGCTAAATAAAATAAAATCGCAATCATGAATTTGTAAATCTAACAGATTATTACTCTGTTAAAATGGGGAAGAGAGCTAATGACTTGTTAAGGACTCAAAATTCAAAGTTTAGGACCTTTGACTCGACTTGGGACTTGCCTGTCATTACTTGGGACTAGACTCTAGACTTGAGACCAATTCAACATGTGGAATCGGACCCAAAAAAGTCCAACTGGGGCCGACGGGTAGTGACTGAGCTGGACACACCGCAACAGCTATAGGTGACGACCGCTCACAGACAGGCCAACGGTGTCCTTGGTGTGTCAGGGCCTTTACTTGTGTCTTGCTAAAGAAGGACTTTGTCCCACCTCTGGCCCTGCTACAGGATGGGGGAAGTTCTTGTGATCTTTGCATGAAGGAGGTGTGTCTGAAGAAAGCCTTGTTTTGGTCGGAAAATCTGCTCTGAAAGCAGTGTTACAAGAACAGTATACCCATCAAAACAAAATGATGGAAGACTCTTTATGCAGAATGGGCCACTTTAAGAAGGAATATATTATTGAATCATTCCGCAAAGTAACACATCAAAATTTGACTAGTTGCTCACCTGTAAATAACCTTACAGTTTATACACAGTAACAGCAGCCATGGCACATTTTCAGTTTGGATAGCACCCTAATGTAATGAACAGTATACTTTGAAGTGCACTCTAAAACTGAGAAGTGGGCCAATTTAGTTTGAATAATTGTTCAGAGGTTCCACTTACAAGTATGACAATAGTTTTTCCAAGACTTAAATAACATAAGTAGTCCTAATGGTGCACTTACTGATCTTTATAAAGGAAGTGAAAATGCATTTATGCTGATAATAAGCTGTTTGCCTTGGCTGATTGAAAGGGTGCAGAGAGCAACAAAAACAGAGCGAGAAGGTGAGAGAAACTGAGACAGAGAGAGAGAGGGAGAGAAGAGGAGGAGGAGAGACCCTCTGCAGCTCCAGCTCTTGTTATTTTAACCCAGATTCAGCTCTGAAATATGGCCACCATGTGGACTCTCTCAAGAAGTGTGGCTCCGGTGTCGGCCCCGGCCAATCAGAGGAAACGTGGCGGGTCCAGGGAGGAGGGACGTTGGTTTTTGGAGGGGAGGGGTCTGGGAGTCAGGGAAAGAGAGCGAAAGAGAGAGAGAGGGAGGCATTGAAGTGTGGAAGCAGAGGAGGACAGTCAGGGCAGAGAAGCCGATCTCCAGGAGAGCTGGACTATCCACAGACCAATGGAGACAGGTTGAACTATTGTCTTATTTTTCCTCTTAATTGTCCGTCATTTTCTTCCTGTTTGACCAACTAAAGTTAAATGTTAAGTTACTTATCCTCGTGAGATGAAAGCTAGCCTCCATGCTGATGTAATGGGATATAAATATGAAGCCTTAGGTCTGAATCAGAGTCCCTGTAACGTCACAGAGATCCTGGATGCTGAGCAGATGTGCAGAAGTGTTAGGAAAGACCGTCTCCTTTTGCCATGGAAAACCTGACCAAGGACTCCTTTGTTTTAAACTGCTTTTATGACTATTAGTTCGTGCAATTTTCCTTAAATAATGACGGCATTACCAAGACTTTTTCTGTCTTTGCCTTCTACATCAGGAGGACAAACAACACATCTGTGCTTTTGTTGTATTTGACATTTAACCGTGTGGGTTATCTTAAACAGAGAGACATTGAAGTGAGACTTGAGTAGCGTTTTTTGAGTCCTCCATGACCAATCATCTCCTGCATTCCCTCCGGTAGCTCTAGGGTCTTTTCATTCAAACAAATCCTCACAGATTACAAGGACTCTCTTTGTTTAAAAACTACTTTTTCATGATGGGTCACATAAGGTAAAAGGAGTGAGGGCTGGAAATCAAAAAAACGGTTATGAGTCCAGTTTAACAGTATGATGTTGCTGACAGGTTGAAGAAGTTTATCTTTTGCACTCTCCCCTCTAATCATGTGAATGCACCGTAAACTTTCCCCTTAACCTCTCGTCCGGCTCTAAACAAACAGTCGCCATGGGGACGCGTTCCTCCAGTCAAGGCATGTCCATATATATGTAGATTGTTTCCTGTCGGCGGCAGCGTGGAGAGACGTTTCCTGCTGTTTTGTTGTCATGATAAGAGAAAGGCTGAGTGGATGATTTGGACAAGAGTCGTGCACTTCAGCACACATGTAGTGAGTAGCCTGATTATGGGGATGGAAGTATTGGTTGATGGATGGGGTTGGTCCACACATTGAATTGATTTCTTTTCATCCTCTCCAGAAGGTGAATCCAACTGACTTTTGTACTCTCCCTGACTTTCCCTGTTATGTCACCACAAGGCGGATATGTTTGTCTCTTAGTGACAGTTATTGACGAGTTATTGACGATATTCCAATGGATTACTGTGACATTTTCTGCAGATACTCATTGCCCCTAGAGGTTGACCCAATAGATTTAGGTGATTCCTGAATTTTGTACCATTTTGCCGTCATGAGGTTGATTTTTTTTTTTGTCTTTTTTTGGTACTATTTGATGGGTTGACATGTCATTTGGTGCAGATATTCATAGTCGTTCATAGGATAAATCTAATAAACTTCGATTTTCCCCATGCTCTTCTAGTTGAGTCACAATGAGGTTGTCCATTTGTGGATTTAAGACAAGCATTTGATGTATTATCATTCAATTTGGTTCAAGCAATCGTGGTATTCAGAGGGGGAATCTGTCTGACTTTTCTGAAGGCATTCGGTTCCTTTAAGTGACACTTCTACCTTGATATTTAGGGATGAATCCCACTGACTTTGGTAATTCCAGACGTTCTCTTTTGTGCTACCAAATTGTGAGAATGTTTTGGCTTTAAGAGACATTTCTGGATTTTAACTTGATTGAGTGTAGTCATTCATTTATCCAATAATTCATCCATGCATTCAGTATTGTGACCGTGCAGATATCCATGCATCCCAAAGGCTGAAGTGTAACGCCTTTTCTTAAGTTGTTTTCTTTATTAAGACTTAAGGGAAACTTGGGTCCAACTGTGGAGAAGGTCTAATTCTTCTATCTCACACTTTAGAGGAGCAAATGTGAGATAGCAGGGAGTCTTGTAACTGATTGTGCGCATCTGGATTAAGTGTTGGAGGGTCAGCGGGGTGGTGGGTTTCTGTATGGGGGCTGTTAACCCCTCTGTCCGTGTAAACCGAGCCTCAAATAATCCTCAGACTCCCCGCTGGTTGCTCAGGGAGGATAAAGGACATCATAAATCCACCTCTATAGCCTCACATATATGGACTACCAGTCTGTCTTAGTAAACCTCTGCTCATGATGACTGCTTAAATCTGTGCATCTGGGAACAGTGAGGAGACGTCTGGGCATTAGTTTTGACAAATACCAGGTACATTAATAGAAGCAGACTTGTCCAGACTTGTTTTAGCTTTTCTCAGCCACATTCAAGGAAGCTTCAGACAAATTGAGACCCGCTAGTTAGTAGGTACTAACCAGCAGGCCCGTGATGCAAACACACTGCAGCCAAGCGAAGTCAAAGGTTAAGTGTCCGGATCTTAAAAAGCTCCGTAACTCTCCAGCTGGTTCAAATTGTTTTCAGCTCCAAAGTGTTTTCTAACAGTATTCCTGTCAGGGAGGAATTAGTCTCTGCAACTGGCCAGCAAATGTTTGACCCCTAAGACTCCGGCTTGCCCCGTTTGTCTTCAATCCAAACGTCAAACATCAGCCCCATCAAAGAACCCTCTGGGACTCAACCCCCCCTTCCAAACGTCAACGAACTCTCTATGGGGGGGGGGGGGGGGGAGAGCTGTTTCCAAGAAACTTCAGTTGAGAGAATCTCAGTCGGCATCTGTTCCTGCATCTGCTCATGGTGACGCAAAGAGAACGCTTGTGATTCATGAAATTAATTTAGGTCCAAATCCACAGAGGCGGCTGTCTCTGCCTGTTCTTATGATCTCATCTGTTTTACACAGTCCAAACAAACTTGACGTTAGCGCACACACACACACACACACACACACACACACACACACACACACACACACACACACACACACACACCACCCTGTAAGAGACCACAGATCTGGGTCATTTTCTCTGCTTAAAAAAATAGAAGGGAGGTTAAAAGAGATAACTGTTGTTGATATCTCGACTGCATAACAAAGATCAAAAGTTTGTGTAATGCTCTGACTCACTCGCACAAACACACACAGAGTCTCCTTCGCCGGGATGGGACCACAAGGGACGCCCCTTGGCTCCGACGGGCCCCCCGCTGTAAGGGCACACAGCAGGGTTGGAAACCTCGCAGTTTGGGGCGGCACACGTGTCAACGGCAGCCCCTGGCCTCCTCTGCTCCCATTGCCAAACTGCTGGTCAGAGAATGACTAACAGACTCCCAGGAGGCGGCGGGGGAATGAGGGTAGAGAAAGACTCAAAAGAAAAGAAACAACTGTCAGCTTTGGGCCCGGAGCTGTAGTTATAACATGAGCACAAAGGCCTGCACAGTATGACCATTGTTTAATCTTCTCTGGCATGCCAACTTCTGTGCTCTGCTCAGATTTGTTAATGTCCCTCATAGATCAACTTAAATAGAATTACTGTTTGACTGTTTAATCTCCTCAGATCTTCCTGGTTTCGAAAGGGCTTAAGACACCGACCTCATGATGTTAAAAAAAGTGCTTTTATTCTGTAGCCGAGTCATCTTGTTTTCTAAAATCAGTTCTTTGCACTGTGAAAGGTTTCATTACAAACAAGTCGCTGCAAAACTTTGGATGTACTTTTTGCATTCATGAAATCGATCAGTTTATTATTCATATAAAACTTTTATGAAGTTGTAATAAACTTTTACTGCGAACGGTTCTGAAATGTAAGTGTAAAAAGGTTAAGCAAAGGAGTGTACAAAGGAGATTGAGTCTGACATTGTGAACTTTATGCCTATTCTGGTTTGATTGTATGATGTGCGATCATGTGACTCATGCAATCAAAAAGGAAAGTGACGAAAGCACAAAATATTTTACGATTCCTTTTAAAAATCTTCCTTCATTTTCATCATCTTTAGTTGTGTGCATCGTGTCTCTGGGTCAGTGTGGACGATATCTCCTTCTGATGAACTGACACCATTCACAGCATCCTCATTGTGATGTGACTGACTCAGCAGAGCAGCGGTGTCGATGTCACCGAGGTTATCGGCGGTTATGTGACAGCCGGACGGCCATTGTGTCGTCAACCGTTAACCGACCCCGTGTCAGATGTGTGAGGCGGCTCAAAGCGAGGCCCCCGGCTTGTTTTTCTCTCTGTCTGCATCCGCTTCGCTCTCTCTGCTGTTTCCACGTCTATTTTAACCCTGCGATCTCCATCTCCCCCTCCAACACACACACACACACACACACACACATCGAGGGAGACAGGCGCAATGTTTTTCTAGTTTTCATCTTTACAACCCCAGCCACGGGGACCCACAGGGAGTAGAGAACATGACGAGAGCCCTGATCACAAATCCTGTAACATAAACACTGAGAACAGAAGAGGCCCACTTCAAATGAGCACACAACTCATTAAACCCTGTCCTCAACATCCACACCATCCTCCTCCACACGCTGCTCATTATCTACACTTCTGCTTTTCCAGAGGGAGAAACAGGAGAGCTGTGTTTCCTCAAATAAAAGAAGAGTTACTGGTCATCTTGGAGCTCTTTGTATATACAGGCGATTACATTTTATACGTGCAATTAAAGCGCTCACCCTGTTGTTCTGTCTCTCTCTCTCTTTTTACGTCTTTAGGTGTGTCTGATGTGACGCCAGCGGGCTGGCTCAGGGAATACAACTTCAATACAATGTAGACACCGAAAAACCAGACGGAAAAAAAGAGTCTGAGCGCAGAGCACGACAGAGGGAGGGCGAGTCCGAGGAGGAGGAGGAACGACAGCTGTGCAGAAACAACAGAAGATAAGAAGTGAAAGAAGGAAGCGGCAGACTGTGAATCATTGACTTTGTGAACCTTGTGTTTACAGCGCTGTCACTTTACTCCTTCCCATTCATTTGCTCTCACATCTCCGCCTCAGAAGGATCACAACGCTTGGCTCCTCGGGTCTTTTGAAGGCCTCTGACCCCCCTCGCCTCACCTTTTCACCTCGCAGCGCCGTGAGACTCCAGCCGCCCGTCAGCATGTGCCATGTGATCGTCACCTGCCGCTCCATGCTGTGGACCCTGCTGAGCATCGTGGCGGCATTCGGGGAGCTCATCGCCTTCATGAGCACCGACTGGCTGGTGGGATTCCCCCGCACGCCGGACTCCGTCTTCGGGCACCACGGGGCGACCGCGGCCGGCGAGGCCTACAGACCCACTTTAGGCATCTACGGGCGCTGTATAAAACTGCCCCACATGCAGCGCGGAATACTGTGTGGACCGTACGCCATTCACTTCGGGGAGATTGCCAGCGGGTTCTGGCAGGCGACTTCCATCTTCTTGGCGGCGGGGATCCTGCTGCTGTGCGCCGTGGCATTTATCTCAGTATTCACCATGTGCTTCCAGAGCATCATGAAGAAGAGCATCTTCAACGTGTGTGGACTGCTGCAAGGGATCGCAGGTGAGAAACATCACATTTCAGTTTTTATTTCCTGTACCAGCAGATGTTTATCACCTGCCAAAGATTTCAGTATCTGTTAAAAAGAATAGAAGAAGTTTGGTTCTTCTTCTGGTGCAGAGGTATCAAACTTGTGTTAAAGAACAAACAATTTCAGAATAATGATATACTTCAACAAAAGAGGTTGTTGGATTGTTGAACCAGTCCTTCCGATTTCCCAACTTCCAAGGGATCAGATGTTCACAAGGTTTTAATTTCTCTCCCTAGTTCAACGCTGCACAGCCTGTTCAAGGTGGTAACATATCAGCATGGCTCTGTAGCACTGTGGAGTATAAAAAGTACAAACACACAATGGGAAGGTGATGTTTTTCCACCTTTTAATCAGCAGCAGAATGAGTTACAGATCTGATTTGAAGTTGGTGATAATGGGGGAGTCAGCTGGAAAAGAAAAGGCTGTTTGAGTATGTAGAATAGGATGAGTTGGCAACAAGCCTACAGCGACCAAAAAAACGTCCATGAATGAGAGAGACAGTGATGATCAAGATCTCCTTAACCTCAAAGTAAGAGATCACAGCCATTTTTAAAAAATGGAATAGGATTTTTCTCCACCTCACACAAATGTTGTATGTCACCATAGACCCTTATGCTTTTATTGTGAAGTTGTGAAGCTTGTACCCTTTCAGCGATCAAAGACTTAAACAGCACTTATATGACACGTTGTATTTGGGTTCTGTGTAACAAGAACAGCTGCACCTAGAAAAGGGTGTCTGAAAAGGAGTAGAAGAAGTAAAACTGTGGCAACCTCGCTTGCAGTGTTTAAAAAAATGAAATTGAAGCCAATAGGGAAGTACCTTTGTACCCATCTCTGCTGACATTTTGGTTTAATCAGCATTTCCAATGTGGTGAACGTCATCATTGGGCGTTGTTAGAGACCAATGGATGATGTGACTAAGACCACTTCCATATTTTATACAGTCTATGGTGTCGAAACTACCTCTATTTTAAGTTTCTGATGATTATCCTCTGGAGGAGAGTGTTTTAATATTTGCAGTCAGCCCGATTTGAATTCGTTCTGTGTCCAGAAACACTTTGATTTATAACTTCTTAGAACACAAACAAGTTAGTCTCTCACATAATCCCCCTCAGGACCACCTGCAGGGTTAAACAAGACCCAAAACAACATCTATACAACACTGCATTAAAATGTACTGTCAGAGAGGATTTGCTGCTTTTGAGTCAGCTCCTCAAAGTGTTCTGTTTACGGCCAGACGAGAAAGATTTGTTTCTATTTTGCACAATCTTGAACTCGGCCAATTTAACTTTTTATTGTTCCTCTTCATTCCTGTGGCGTCCACCGTTCATCAAGGTAAATGAAATGTTTTACTTTTCGGCTAAACACATTCATTACGAGCGCCACAACTCCTACTCTTAGAAACTATGTTTGATACTCGTGGCGCCTTTTTGTGACTTTTCACCCCCCCCCGGAGCAGTCAGGAGTTTTTTGAAACACTCGGAGGGCTTGTTTCCCACCTCGAGAGCTGTCACTGGAGCAACTGCCACCCAAATATTTACTCTCTGTCCAAGTCAGCAGGAGCTTTCTGACCCTTAAAGGAGAGTCCAACACGCATGCGTATCTCTGTGTGTATAAAGGGTGTGTACACTGTGTCTACTCTTGTGTGTGTCCGGTCACTTTGACTCACGTGGTAAATTATAGAGGGGAGGTAGGCCATGAGATCAGTCTTCACAGACTGTAGCTCTCAGCACCGTGATGATTATGGCCATCCTCCCCCACTGTTGTTTATTTGATGCTGCAGGCCCAAACAGAGAAGAGGTGGGACATGTAAACCAGAGCTGTGCAGGCCTGCTTACCAATGGAGATCCATGATATGTTCTGCACATATCTCCGTGTCTTCTGTGTCAAAATGACCGCCCTATATTAAATCTATTGTTTTGCCAATGTGGGCATTGTTGGAATTAATGACCTGAAAGCAAGATTGGACTTCTTTTTTTTAAAATTTAGAATCACACATTCACAAACATTTGTACATATTGTTAATTTGTGGTTAGACAATAGAGTGATTCCTCTTTTCACATTTTTGTAAATTTATACAGAACAAATAGAAAAAAATAAATAAAATAGAAATAGAACCGAACAAATCAAATAAAAAAAGACAAATTGTAAGACATGGCGTGATTTTCCACAACCAATTGCAAAAGCGAAGCATACAGGGTTTCATAACTTAAAGTAAAACCAGATTAAACAAAAGAAGGGAGTTTAGGGGAGATGTAGGATACCCATTTAATCCAGAGGTCCTGAAATTTATTTTTCTGAAGCTTCAGAGAAAAAGTGATCCATTATATATAATTCATAAATTACATCATACCAGTTTTTCACTGATGGAGTAACTGGCTGGAGCCATTTCTTTGTTATTGGCAGAGATGCTCAAAGGATTGGACTTCTAATCACATTGGCTCAACTACTAAACTCCTCAAGAGTCAAGTTGGCCAAACTGTGTTATAAGTCGAAAAGTTGAGCTATAGTGTCAAGTTGGCCCAACTTTTCAAGATGTTACGTTAACCATGACTCAGTAGGGGCAAAGCGAGCAGATCCTTTACAAAAGGAATCATGTCGCTCCAATGGTAGCCAAGCTATGATTGGACAATCACGGTTCAGAGAAGGGTTGATAGATCGATTGATTGTCAAATGGCAACCGCTACCAAAGATATCATTAAATGACCTGAAATAACCCCCCATATATATTCTATTAGAGGACGGGGACTCATGGCTGTAAGTGTGGAAATGTACCGCTGAGTCTCTTCATTGTGGAGAGGATGAGGATGTTTGAGAGGAAGAGGAAAGGGGGGGCGAGAGGAGCTTCAAACAGCTGAGGAGGAGGGAGAGTTTCCTTCAGGCCTGTGGAGCTAAAGCTGATAACCTTTTACTCATTTCAACCGCAGGAAGAGATAAGACCCCCGCATCTGTCCCGGCTCATATCTAGCAGTGTCGCTTCTTTAACTTTTACTCTTCATCTGAAGTCATGAAGCTCGTTATTGATTGCACACTCACTGATACTACCACGTCGACTCATTTATAATCACTCTTTCCACTAGCGCTGCCGACCCCTCCGGTAATGAGAAAACTGGAGCCAGACGGCAGATGTTTGGGGAAGCGATTGACTTCAGATGAGAAGATTGTGTTTCCGTTGCCAGAGATGGTCACGTCACTTCACTGGAGTCGCTCCAAAAGCCCATTGACTTAGTCTTCACTTACATTATTTTTTTTTTGTCCCCTATGACACACTTTTCCAACGGACGCAGATTCCATTCAAATGACGGGTCAGTTTGAGCTCAGGTGGTTTTGAGATTTAAAGCCAAAAGGTCGATCCATTCCACTTCCTTTTTACGTAACCAAATGGCTAAAACAGACGGGCTTCTGTTGGAGGTCAGTCAGGTACTTTTTGTATCCTCCAATGTGCAAATTCCCCCCAAAAAGGGCCCCAAACGACTTCTTGTGCAGCAGTTAGCTTTACCTATAAGTGACTTTTCTGCAGAGAATTCTTCCTCACTTGTGTCAAACATCAACTAAAAAAGGATTCAAGAGACAACGATAAACAAACTCGGCCGTTAAACTGTCTCCGATTTGTGTGCGTTTGGTGACGAATGCTGCTTTTTACAACAGGTCGTAAACTTTCCTTGCAGTTGTGAGTCACAGCGCTTGTGACAGGTTTGACCGTTGACCATGACTCAAACAAAACAACTTGCAGGAAATAACGCGGGATTCCTGAGAGGCAATGAGTCTGGCGTAAGATATTATGAAAACATGGACCGTTCCTCTGAGTTGGATTTCCATTCATGTAACAGCTTTTACTGGATATCTGTGTTTACAATGGTGGCGTGACTGCTGATAGTGAATAATCAAATGGAAAGCAATAACAGGAAACACTTAACACTGCAGTATTACATTCACGTACTAAAACTGTGAAAAGGCTCGTCATAATGAGAGTAAGCCAAAAGCAACATCTTTAAATTTCTTCTTTTGTCCAACCAGATGTCCAAAACCTTCAAAACTTTTCATCTGCTGTAATAAATGACAAATAATAGCAGAAAATCTTGAATTTCAAGAAGCTTTGATCGGCAACTCTTACACCTTCCTGCTTGAATAATCACTGAAATAAGAATTAAATTATTAAACTAGTTGGCAATTCATTCTCTTGAAGTGAACTTTTCTTATAATATTTGTGGCAGCTCAAAAATGTGATAGTCAATTCAGGCATTATCGATGTAAGAATGCTAAATATTTATTGAATATTTGACGCCCTTGTTTCTTGCCTTGACATAAAAGTGTATCAGTCAGCTACGCATAAGAAACCATTAAAAAGTTTTCACTGTTACCTAATGATAATGACTAGAGAAAGAAGCTGACAGATTGCCAGTACTTCCTGTTGCCCTCTCGCTGTCCCTTCTTATTTCCTCATCATGTGGCTCACAGCAGCTCCTCATTTTTTCCTGGAAAGGAGAAGGGCGGCCAGATTTCTTGGAGTGGAGCGCAGACCTGCTGTGCTGTATTACAGGGTGTAGGCTGAGGGAGCAGAGGTTAAAAGAAAGGAGGAGGAGGGGGAGGAGGTGGTGGTGGTGGTGGTGGTGGTGGCGGCACAGAGGGAGGCAGCTATCAGAAATGGATGGATGGTGGAGAAATGACAGTTTGGACGTGAGTGTAGACAAGAGCCAGCACGACGGGGGGAATCGTGAGGCTGGATGGGTGGAGTGCTGTGGGATATTAGGTTAGACGGCCCTGCTTGTAGAGGGGGGATTTGTCTGTGTGTGTGTGTGTGTGTGTGTGTGTGTGTGTGTGTGTGTGTGCATGTGTGTGTAGGGAAAAGGAGGGGAAGGGGGTCTTAGGGCGGGTGGAGTTGAGAATTAAAACCATACCTTCAATCCATCACTGGAGCCGGTCTGGATGTCAGGGCAGTGCAGCAACATGTGGAAAGAATTTATGACCTAGTTTTCATTTCCTTGTTTAATACGATATTGGGTGCTCTGAGAGGGAGAGTACGAGGAGCAGAAAGAAAGAGAGGAAGCAGAGAAAGAGGGAGAGATTAGGAGAGAATGAAAGAAAGGAGAGCGAGACAGCTTAACCTTCATGGTTGTTGTTGTTGTTTTGGTTTTTTTTGCAAAGCAAAGGCAGCGAGAATGCTGGGTGTAAAAATCAAGACTGGTATTCTCTGGTTTGTTTATTAGCTTTAATTATATTATTCTAAATGCTTCCTGCTGAGCTCTGATTGGTGCTGAACGCCTCGTCTGGCCATCTAATTCATTCATTATCACTGGAAATAGATCATAGGAACCCGTCAGCAACTCCCCAAAAGTCCACTTTTTAAACTATTAGTTGAGAAAACTTTGATTAAACTCGGATGTTTCCGTTGCATCTTTGAAAAAAAACAAATCAAATGCATCGCTGAACACATAGCAATGTAGGAGAAACAGCAATGTCGTTTAATAACTTTATAAACTGAGTCTCAGAATGACCCTTCAGTGCTTTGTCAAACAAATTAGCTGCTTTAGGTAAAATTGACTAAAATACAAATATTTTACCCGAGGCAAAAAGACTCCTACTCTTCAAAACAAATGTTATCTAGTGATAATTAAAAGTAAAACACCAAACAGAGCAGTTTCATCTCAAATTTAAATCATTAGGGCTAACGCTCTTCCGCAGACAAAGACGTCAGGAGAGGCTGCTAGCTTGTCTGATGATGCTTTAGTTTTTTTTAATTCCAGGATCGATTCTTTAAGTTTTCACTGTTCACAAAGATGAGACCTGGTCATCAAAACAAAAACAAAAAAAACACTGAATAAAGCAGTTTCACGTTTAAAATCTGTGTCTATCTGAAGCTCTTCTTCAGGTTAGCTAGCGCTGCAGCTAGCTTGTTTGACGGGGATCAGCAGTTTCTAAAATATCATTTTCCTCTTGTTGTCATACATCATAAGGTTCTTACCATTTCTTATTTTAACACAGGTCTCCAAAAACAAACAGACCCCATTATAACCTCTGTTAAAAACACTTAACAAATAAAAGACATGGCGCTTTTGTCCTGAAGGCGCTGTTAGCTGAGCTTGCTAAATGCTCAGCTGATTCTTTTCTGTTCATTATTTAAGATGTTTTACAAAGTTTGGAATTACCACAGAGTTCTTCGTCTAATAAAAACAAACAGACCAGGTGATAAAATGAGGTTAAAAACACTGAATAAAGCAGTGTCAAGTTAAAAATGTAGGTTTATTTCCAACGCTCCTTCGAGAGGCTAGCATTGCTGCTAACGTTAGCTCAATAAGCTGAGTGAAGTGACTTGAAAAAGCCCAAAAGAAATCAGCTGGACATGTTTTAAAAGAAGTTCAACAGCTTGTGCTTATGGAATATACTTCTTCGATTTGACACAACGCTTATTTAAATGGGTTTGGTGGAAAAAATAATAAATTGTGAGAGCTTCTACGGCAAAATCCGATTGGACTGATACCATCGTGAATTGGTTAAAGTCCCATTTAGACAAAAAGTGTTTAGACGATCTGCTGTATTAAAATAGCAATGTTTGTCAGGAATTGTTTTAAGATGTTGAATCCAAGTCTGCACAAAGCGGCAGTAAAAGTGGGTCACTGTAAGACAGGAAGTGACCCCATCCATGCACTGAGCCGCAGGACGCCGGAGGGTCAGCGAGTGACTTGGGGCAGGCGGGAAAGCCCTCCTGCTACCTTTTCCTGTTGTTGTCCCCCTCTGTGTCGTGTGCTGACCTGACAGACTGTGTGTGTCAAGATTCAGGTCTATAGTTCCCTCTTTCCTGGAAGTGGAGCTCTGATTATCTTCTGGCATGTGTAAGGAAATCGTTTTCTTGCTGGTGTTACATTTTTTTGTCTTCCCGATAGGACGCTCTGAATGCTGTGATGGCACTTAGGCAGGAAATGTTTTTGAATCAGACGATGATGGAGGTTGCAACAAAGATTGCTGCAGTCATTAAAAGACTCCTAGCAACCCGCACGCAGGAAGTTTCTTCGCTGTCGGTTGTCATGATTTCTGATACTATGATATTTATTTATACAACACCTTTTAAAACTATACAAGTGTTTTATTTTTTTTTATTTTTTTTTTTCTATCATGCAGCACCACGTTTCTATATAACACTTAGTATTACCGACGTGGTCACTACCTGGAGCTTGCATAAATGGAGCTTGGCTTCCTGTCGGAGCTGCCAATACATCTGTCTATCATGACATTACTTTTACTGTACTAACCTTACTCTGTTACCTAACTTATTTGACTTCTATTTATCCTTTTTCAGGCACATTGTCTCTTTGATTTAACCCTTAACCACTTAATATTTTGGAATACAATTCGTATATTATTTTGTATATCTCATATATTTGATGCTCTTTGGTGTTACTCATGTTTTGTTTCCATGCACAAGAATTTCCTTCAGGATTTATAAAGTTTTATAGTTATTCATTTCTTACCTATATTTTCACATTTAGCATTACTGTATTTAAGCTTATCATGTCATGGATTATTTCTTATGGCTAACCAGCTTTACTCACTTAGTACTTTTGATTGCTATGGACTTTGTATGTCATGTGTGTGGTTTGTTTCATGTGCCGTCCTGTCATCCTGTTGTGCTTTTACACAATTGTAGTTCTGAAAGGATAAATAAAGTTATTGATTAACTACATATCTAATAAGACTTCCCCTTAGAGCAGCAGCTCTACACTTATCTCCTCTCACATCCCACTTGTTTTATCTAAGAGACTTTTTATCGTCCCATGTTGTGTATATAAAAAGCTTGATAAAGAAAGTGTGTCATGGTCATCGCTGAGAGCGTCTGTCTTGTCTCTAAGCTCAGTGAGAGGAGATGGTAGTGAGGAGGGTTTGAAGCAGCACATCTGGTTTTAAATGAGTTAAGCTGACCTTGCTAACATTTTTCGAGGTAGAGCTGAGTCATGAGTCACGCTCTCCTTTGTTTCCTTCACAGTTTGTTTAGTCGTTAGGGTAATCTGATACACGGCTCTGTTTGTGAACGCCTGTCAGGTAGTTGTCCTGTGCTGCAGCGTTTCAACTGAAAACATGAGGTTCTGATTTGCTTCTCAAATGATGGAAACAAAGTTAATGTTCCCATGAAACGGGACTTAGACAGAAGACAGTAGGCGGGACATACAGCAACGGTGGGAATCATTTAATGGGATCCAAATGGGGTTGAAAATGTGTAAACTAGAAGATGGAGCTTAAAGCTTTATATGCAATTTTTTTGATCCAGCAGATGTCGCCCTTGAGCACCAGCATGAAACCAAAACAACTCGCGCTGCATTGTTGTGTTAGCATGCTAATGCTAGCGATCTTTATTAGCTGGTATCTTCACACTGCATGTAAATTTACCTGAAATGAGCGTGATCTAGAAACACAGTTAAGCAGTGAGTACAGTATGTTATTCTTCTTTTCTCTAGTCCCTCAATTAAACAACTTTTATACACGAGGGGAGGAGTCAGCCGGCCGTCCCGGCGATGTAAACAAACTGAAGATAGGACTCTGAAAACTCTGAAAGCATCACAGACAGTGGGACTCGGGTGTTACACCCATTGTAGACAGTCATGACTCACAGAGTTATTTTCAGAGGATAAACTTGATTTATATTATATTTAAGTGTGAAAAATCACATATAAAGATTTTAATGTTCCCATGAAACAGGACTTAGACAAATAACAGTAGGCGGGACATACAGCAACGTTAAGTGCTCACTATTTTGTTGTTTGGACACATTTTTTTTTAAATGACCCTCCTCTCTTGTTTCTCCTCTCTGCAGGTCTGTTTCTCATCCTGGGTCTGATGCTGTACCCCGCCGGCTGGGGTTCAGATAAGGTCCAGCTGTACTGCGGCCATGACGCCGCTCCGTACCGGGCGGGGCTGTGCTCCATGGGCTGGGCCTTCTACACCGCCATGGGGGGCACCGTGCTCACCTTCGTGTGCGCCGTCTTCTCCGCGCAGGCCGAGATCGCCACGTCCAGCGACAAGGTTCAGGAGGAGATCGAGGAGGGGAAGAGCCTCATCTGCCTCCTCTGAAACTCTGATCACTTAGAAGAACAGAAGAAGGCGTTAAAACACTCAAGCAAATGGAGGTCGCTGCATTGTTTACCACTAAAACCGACTCTTCTTTTTGTCTACTTTTTTTGTGTGTGGGAGAAATCTACAAGTGCCAAGTTTCTTCTCAGTGTCGTCGTCTTTCTGCCACTAGAGGTGCTGTGTTTGTATCCGTGTTAGCCGTGTGGACTCCCCCCCCCAAAAGGGCTCCACATGCTCTGTAAATAAGTGTGATTATATATATTTTGTACATATTGCTGAATGATTGGTAAGCTTGATCCGGTTCTGGTGCTGGTGATGTCAATCTTGCCTTAAAAAAACACGACCAGCGAACCTAGATGTAAGCCACAAGTGAGTGTTAAATAACTCGTCAAGGGAACCACTACTCAGCCAGAATAAACTACTCGCAGAATCAGAGTGGCTGTCCTTTAAAAAAATAAAAAAAGCTTACAGAATGTACTGTGGATTGAATGATTTTATGTGTGTGTAGACCCTTGAAATGTATCGATGGGGATTGTTTTTTTTCCACACAGACTGCACAAGGACAAGCGAAAAACAAAAAAACAAAAAAAAACAAGGGTCCTGAATCCTGAAATGAAGTGAGCTGAATCCTTACTGGAGCTGAAAGCTGATCTGTGAATGGTCTGCGCCTTTGTCCTCCATCAGCAGACAGCCTGTAATCTCTCTGCACAAAGACTCGGGACTGAATGATGAGGACACACAAAATGAAGTATTGCTGTTATTAGTAACGTCTGGTTTCAGGGAGTGTGTAGAGTCATAGATAGTGTCCTATCTGTTCCCATTTGTTTCTGCCAAATGAATAAAGAAAAGGGAATGAATAAGGATCGAGGCTGAGTGTTTTTTATGTTGAGGAGGAGGAGAAGGAGGTGAAGGAGGAGGAGGATGGAGGAGGAGATGAAGCAAGTGGAGCAGCCAGCTTGAGACCTCGGTTTGGCCCTTGAGGTGTGGGGGGGGGTTGGGTACGTTTTCCAGCCAGCGGGTGATCAGTTTTTCCACTGATGCAGAACTGAACTCTACATGTGTCTCTCTCTCTCTCTGTTTGTGTGCGTGTGCTCCATATTCAGTCCGATTCTGAGGTCTTTAACTTAACTTAAAGCTCATGTGAGGAGTTTTTAGTTTGTTATGAACAGACTGAAATTAATACAGATGTCTTTCTGTGAGCTACAAGAGCAAACAAGATCATCAGCATAGAGATCGATTCTTTCTTAAAATGTATTTTGAATGCATAAAATAACCGCTGCAGCCGGTTATTACCAACATGCTGAGGAAATAGCCTTTTATTATCGCTAATTTTATCAATGAGTGTTATTGTGTAGAGTTATAGAAGAAAGCATGAAGTTTTTTTGTCGATGAAAACACTTCTTAAACTTCTTAAACCTGAGAGGACATGCATGAGTACATTTTATTTGACAAATTTTTGCCGTAATAACGAATACATTTGGATGCTTTCTAAAGAGCTCAGCTTATTTTAGTTATTATTTATTTATCTTGAGAAAACAATGCAGATTTTCCCATGATAATGAGTTCATCTCTCGAGAAATCAAGAAAACAACTGAAGTTAACTTATCGAGGGAAAACGGAGCAGCACCTCTGATTCCAGTTTTTGCACATCTGTCCACCACAGTATTTCAGCTATTTCATGAAACAATAATTCTCTTGAGTCATCATAATCTGCACAAGTATATAATAATTGATTAATAATATATTTTATACTCCTGAGGGTTGCAACATTCAAAATTTCATATATCATGGTGAATATAAAAATACTTTTAACCAGCAAATGAGACCATAAAAACCTCAGAAAGATGTTTACCAAGGTAAGTATACAGTATTAAATAGTGTAATTTTCTTATTGATTTATGTCCAATCAGGATTTTTTTGCATGCAGTCGAGTCTCCCCCTGCTGGCCATAAGAAAGATTGAATATAAACATTGTACAGTTGCAGCTAAGAAAGTTGAAACTCGTCATAAAATATCAAAATCAGGAGAAAAAAAGACACTGAAGCATCACAAACCCATATCTATCCTCACTTTGCTCTTCTGCTCCTTCTTACAAAATGCTTCCCTTGTGTATGTATGTATGTGTGTGATCACTAAAGTCCCTCCCCAGATGTTCCTCCTCCATGTGGGCAGCAGAGAAACTTCTGGAACAGCCCTGTGGCTCCCTTCATCCACCAGATTCTGCTCTCAAACTAAACACAGCGTCTGATGATTTCCAGATTAGGCACGTGACAAATTGTGCAATCTGAAGCAGAAATTCAGGCTGTTTCAGGGCCAGAGGCTTTTTTTTTTTACCTCTCTCTTTTTTCTCCTTTCATTTGATTTTTCCTCTTTGTGGAAACATTCAGAGAGGACGAGAGCGAGGAGAGACAAGAGTCAGAGTTTTGTTACTTTTACACCTGGTACAGAAAGAATGCACGCACGCTTTTATGTTAATACGTTTTTACAGTAAGGTACTTTACATAAAAAAAGTTATTTTTGGGCCTTTTTGCATTTTTTGGAGAGGAAAGCTGAAGAGAGGAAACTGGAACAAAACTGTCACTGTGAATGAACATATACAATTCTCTTAGCAGAATATACATATATTATTTAATTTAAATGATCATATACGCACACTTTCTAATGTAAATACTGTAAAAACTACCTCATGTTTACTTCAGCATCTTTACAACTCACCACAGCACTATTATCTTTTATTATCCTATTTAGCCTTGTACATATTAGTCTTGTTTATTTTTGTGTTTATTGTTGATATTTAAAGTTATACCTTTGTACAAAGAGAGCACAGTTTACCAAAGTAAAATTCCTTGTGTGTTTAAGCACACCTGGCCAATAAAGCTGATTCTGATTCTGAAACTTTGGGAGGAGTGAGTAGGCGACGACAGGTAGCAAAGGGCCGGACCAGAACCCACAGTCACTGCGACAAGAAATTTGGAGAACACATCATGTTGTTTTTCAAGTTATTTTCTGTCTAACACAATGATGTTTCAACTCATAAATACCTGAATTAAAAGTCAGATAATGTTGGTTCTTACTGGGATGATCATGTAGAGTATGTCGGTCAACCACAAACATACACTTCTCTAAACCTGCGTCTGCTCCCTGCAGGCAAGTAATCATATATGTACATGAAATCCACTGACAGCTGTTAGCAGAGCAGGTGACGAGCAGAGGAGGAGGAACATGTTAACAGGGTACAGTTAGTCTGTACAGTTAGTCTGGTTCTGTTTCCACACTCCCGATCTGTTTAAAGGCCATTAAAGAAAAGAAGTCCTTCACCCTGTTATTCCTCCTCGGTGCCCCTTCCTGTTGGCAGTCACTCTGGTCTGCTACCTGCTTCCTCTTCTGTGAGACTGTTTCTCTGTTTTATTTCACACACGTCTGTTTGAAGGACTCAGCACTTGGTCTTTACGAGGTGTGTGAGTGGACATGATTTATGCTGCTTCTTTCCTACCAGTTCACCACTGCTGAAAACCCGGTGGAACGTACACTCACACAAGTGCTCTACTTAAGGTCAAATGTTTGATACTTGTGTTTCCTTAAGTGTCTTTGTTTAATACGATGATTATTCTTTTTTCATTCTTCATTGTAGAGACAGGACAGTGGACAGAGGCGGAAATCAGGGGAAAGAGAGCGACGTGCAGGAAAGGAGCCACAGGTCAGACTCGAACCCGGACCGCCCGCCTGAAGGACTAAACCCTCCATACGTGGGACATGCGCTACAACCACTGCGCAACCAATTAATATGAAACATTATCATGACCCTATGGAAGCCCTACACGGACATCAACACATTTTAGTAACCTCTGTTTTCCTGTGATGACGATTTATGGCGCCAACAGAACGCCATTTAGTGGGGAATGTTGTGCTTCGAGTGCAGCTTGTGACACATGGGGTCGAGGTCGTTCCTCGTCAGAGCAGGCCAGGCAGACCAGCGCTGTGTGTGTGTGTGTGTGTGTGTGTGTTTGGAGCTCCTGCTGGGCATCTTGCGCTCCTCCTCAACACCGTAACACACTGTGAATCTGAACATTTATTAAACTTATAATACACTCAGGAAACAAAGAACGTTTGATTAAACTGTGTTGAATTAGTCATTTCACTTAAATTATTTGAATACTGCCTTAAATGCAGAATATTTTGGGCAGTGGTGCAGTGGATGGTGCTGTTGCCTCAAAGCAAAAAGGTTCCTGGTTCAAATCCCAACAGGGCCTCTCTGTGTGGTTTGCATGTTCCCCCCCTGTGGCTTCCTCCTACAGTCCAATGACATGCTTGATGGGTTAACTGGTGGTAAATCGTCCGTAGTTGTGAATGTGAGTGTGTCTGGTTGTCAGCCCTGTGATTGACTCGGGACCAGTCCAGGGTGTAACCCCGCCTCTCGTCCAATGACAGCTAGGATCGGCTCCAGCACCCCGCGGCCTTGAATGAGTTTGTTGTGTACAGACAATGGATAGATGGATTGTTACTATGGGTACTTCTAAATTGCATCTGTGTTTCCTTTACTTGCTTCCCTCACTTGAACCTTAGTCCCTCCCACCAGAGATGCATGGAGAGACGCAAGGAAACGAAAAATAAGAGACATGAGAAGTACCCAATGTCAACTAGTTTTCCACTTGGTCACGTTGGCATTGAAGGGGATTTAATGTCATTTTTTTTTGTTGTTGACTACTGACCTCTTCTGGTTATCTTCTAGTAGTGCGGTTAATTTAAATATTCAGCTTATTGCTTTAAAAAAGAAAGATACATGATAATTATAAAAGGACAAAGATCAGTTTTAAACGATGGAAAATCTTTTCACAATAAGAGAAACCGTGAAACACATACAGAAGAAGATTTTTATTCAGTGTTAATACAATAAATATACAAAACTCAAAGTACTCGACATGCGGCTGAAGGTGAAACCAGATAAGAGTGCATTTTTAAAATCACATCCAAATTTTTAGAGCAAAGAGCCGACCGTTTGTAAACCGTACAAAATATACAAACATCCAATTCTACTTTATTTCTGTGAATTATTTCATTAAAATCTGGAGTTAGAGATGACTACTTTTCAATTAGATCCCAGTGTTTTCTACCACAGGGCTTGTTGATTTTGAAGCTTTAAAGCCACAGTCCATTTACAGTACAGCACACAGTTCACGTCTAGCGCTTCTCATTACTTAAACAAATGAAGAATAACAGCAGGTGCCTCTCCAGTCTGATTCTTTTTTTAAGGAATAATCTCATGTCGCTCTGCACACACATGTCCTTACACATGTACACAAGCACTGATCCAAATGAAACAGGTGTGAAACAATCAATTAGAAAGGAGCAAAATAAGGCAGGAAGGTCGGACGGATTTAAAAAGAAGGATCCCAGACACACACAGGCTTAAGACTTCAAAGGCTTAATTTCCTTTTTACACACACACATGCATGCAACACACACACACAGAAGGCTTAACTGGCTTTAACATGAGACAAAAAAAAAAAAACGTCAGTATTATTTAGAAAAAAAAGACACATTCAGAGATGTAGTTAGCACGTTTAGAGTTGATGCATTATTAGAGTTGTGATTCGATTGTGCATGATTTCAGAGATCGTCATTCCACAGCATGCAAAGCAATTAGAACTGTAAAAGTACCGGCTGACATATTGATTACGCCTCCTCTTTTGTTTTTTTGTTTTATTTTTAAACCAGGGGGGGGGCCGGTGTGTGTGTGTGTGTGTTTGATTCCTTTACAGTCTCATAGATGTTTGATTTTGTCATGCAAGTGAAGAGTTCATCCTGAGTAAAAAAGAAAACTGAGGTAAGTCTCGCAGAGAAAAGCCGGAGACAAGTTCCACTC